TGTTCACCGTATTTATTTTTTCTTACCCACTAGGTGTGCCAAAAAATAAAGTTTTACACTTCCGATACCTATCGCTTCAAAAAAAAATACATATGATTGTGAGATACAAAGATTTTTTCGTTTGCTGGACAAATACGACGTTTTTCTGTACGTTTGCTGTACAAGTTCAAATGCTGGACATATTTTGAAAATGCTGTATAATACAGCGAAATGCTGTACGTATGGTCACCCTGTGTGTGTGTGTGTGTGTGTGGGGTGCGTGCGTGCGTGCGTGCGTGCGTGCGTGCGTGGGTGTGTGTGTGTGTGTGTGTGTGTGTGTGTGCGTGCATGCGTGGGTAGGTGCGTGGGTGCGTGCGTGTGTGTGAGCGCGTGCGCCAATTTATTTCGATGTTTTACTAAAGATGGCTCCGAAACTTTTTTTGTCCATATCTTGAAAATGGCGTGAGCCCAAACGGAACGAATTGCTGGCCCATTGAGCCCATTGCTTACTGAATCAGGCACAATAGTTTGTATGACCAGCCCATTCATTTCGATGCTACCGTCAAGATGGCTTCGTATATTTTCGAAGGCCATATCTCGAAAACGCGAGCCCAAACAAAACTAACTGCTAGCCCATTGAGCCCATTGCTTACTGAATCTGGCCCTATGGTTTGTATGATCCATTCATTTAAATGTTATCGTCAATGATAGCATCGCATATTTTCGAAGGGCATATTTCGAAAACGGTAAGATCTCGCCGAATATTATGAGCCCATTGAGACCAAACGAGAGGATCCTGATCCATTTATCTATTTATTAAATATCCAATATCATCCATTTACCACGAAAAAAAAATTGATGAGTTCAGCACATGACTTTCCTGTCTAGTTATTGCAGGTTTTTTCCGTTTATTTTGTACAACCTATTTTACTTACACACCTGCAAATGTTTTGAGGGTGAACTAAATACTTTCAGTTTCCACACACATCTTACTCTAAACATATTTTTGTTATATTATGTTTATTGCTTACGAAAATTCTAAAAAATTAAAATTTGCCACCAATTTTTCATTACTGTCCATTTTAGAGAAATCATGTATAAAACAAATAGTATAGAGAATGATATTGCAAACAACTTTCATTTAAGGAATTTTCTCCTCCAATCGTAAATAACAGATATTTCTCCTCCCCCCAGATGCTTCTACTAGGCTTACTGCAGGATGAATTAAAGCTTAAGTTTAAAATTTGGTGTTTTTGTCTTTATCCATTTTTGAGTTATCTTCCAAATTCGAAATTTGCACATTTCCCAAATCTCTCGAATTATGTAAAATACAAGAAGTATAGATAATCACAATCAACTTTTATTTAAAATTTTTTTGAATATAGATCATTTTATGAAAATTATAGAGAATAACATCACAAGCTACTTTTATTTGAATAATTTCCTTCTTCAAGAGTAAATAACATATATTTCATAAAGTGGAAAAACGACACCTATAAAGTATCCCTCAGATGTTCCGATTATGCCTAAAATCTAATCAGCTCACCACACGATGGATTAAAGCTCCAATTCAAAATTGGGTATTTTTATCCGTTTGCCGTTTTCCTTAAATATATAGAATACGGCATATTTTAAGGAAATCATGTATTAATCAAAAATAGTAGAAAATGGCATCACAAGCAACTTTCATTTAAACAATTTTCCTTAAAATTCGAATTTTGCACTTTTTGTCAAATTTCTCGAATATGAGAAAATTATGTAAAAGACAAAAATTATAGATAATAATATTGCAAGCAACTTTTATTTAAAAAATTTTCTTCTAGAAGCGTAAATACAATATATTTTCCATAAAGTAAAAAACGATCTTAATAAGCTCACCACGGGATGGGTTAAAGCTTATGTTTAAAATCTTTCTGGTTATCCGTTCATGAGTTATCGAATGTACAACGATGGCATTGCAAATTTTCGGAGGCCATATCTCGAAAACGATTTGAGCCTAAATGCAACAAATTGCTGGCCCATTAAGTCCATCGCTTACTCAATGTGGCCCAATGGTTTGTACGACAAGCCCATTTAATGCGATTCTACCGTCAAGTTGGCATCGCATATTCGAAGGCCTTATCTCGAAAACGGTATGAGCACAAAAGCAACAAATTGCTGGCTTATTGAGCTTATTGCTTACTGAATCTAGCCCAATGGTTTGTACGAGCAGCCAATTCAATGCGATGCTACCGTCAAGTTGGCCGAATGAACCCAAACGAGAGGCCCATTTGTATAATTATATTTTTGGAAACATTGCAATGCCAACTTGTCATCAACATTTAAAACTTTGTTATGTTTGAATGTGCAACAGCGAACAGTGAAAGTAACGGAGAATATAAGTGCGTAAATGTAAAAGTTAGGTTTTTAACTTTTAACGGAAGCTGCATCTGTGAGCGGTAACTACAACTTCAAGTTTATAAATAGGCCTTTAGGCTTGATTTATTTAACATTGTGAAGGTATGTATAAAATTGTCGCTGGTCCTAAAAGAGCTGTCATACCGTTATGCAGACAACTCTGACGTGCAATCTAATGGGAATATTTTGATAAGAGCCTATTTGTATAATTTATGTCTGAAATAAAGTTGTTTTATTGTTTTTAATAAGTTTTTTTTTATAAAGAAAGGTAGTCGTGACAATACGGATGTAAAAATAATAGTACATAGCTTTTATATTTTTATTTGCTACTCATGTATTTTTTTAACAATGATACTAGGGTAACAAAATCGCAATTTAGCACTTTCACATTATTGATGAACAGCTAACTAATTTTGTTTACAAAAATCGAATTGCAAAAATTTTTATCTACGTAGTTGTCAAATTATTATGAAAGAGTATATGAGAGTTTTTTGTCAAGGATTGTTTATGGTTATAATTCGGTATTAACGTGACAAGGCTGTAAAACGCACAAAAGGCTTTTAAAATTACTTTAAGGAAGTATACTTGCATTCTTATTGCCAGTTATTATCAGTTTAATGTATTTTTCTCGTGGCAACTATCAGTTGAAGGTGATTTCTAGGAAAGTTCGTAATTAATTATGAAGTGTGACAGCTGTGTAAAGCAAGCAGAATATATTTTGTGGATATCCAATATGGATATCCAACCAAATGTCCGTCTATATCCCAGGATATAGAAGAATTCGGATATTCAGCAAAATATTTTATGGGTATCTTTAGTAGAGATTCATAAAAGTAACCAATGTTTATTGAATAACGTCGAAATAAAATAGCAGAGAAAAAATATTTTCAACACTTAAAATATTTTCAACACTCTGCCTTTGATTTTGCCCACTAAGGAGAAAGTCATCCTTATTAGGACTCTTTAGCAATAAATGGAAATTCTCGACTCCAGTCTGTAATGGGGTCTGATTGAAAAACCAATTTCGATCGAACTCAATTACGGCGGGTTAAGCATGAGTAGATGTGAAAGTGGTATCGCCATCTATACTTAGTAAGCAAAATCAAAAATTACATCTAGTGGATATCCACGATGGTTTGCGTTCGCGCCTAGACTTTGATTATTTAGTGGATGTCCATGGTATATTGAATATATCTTAAAAAAATTAATTTTAAATATCTGAACGTTACTATTAGCCACAATGGCGTAATTTTTTAATAATTTGCTATATAATTACTATTATTTATGGACATATGCATGTCTATAAATTACATCTCATGGATATAAAATAGATATCCACCATGGACTGGACATTCAGTGGATATTGGGATGTTCAGTAGATATCCAAAGGATTTGGTGTGCTGTCTGGGCGTCACGTTCTTTCTAAGGCTATGGTTACAGTTGATGCGTGTTCTGACGAACTGGCGTTCGGACGAACTCGTCAGAATATGCACGAAAAAACCAAATACACAGCAATAAATAGATGTGGTTATATTACGAATGAATTGTTCTTCAGAACCCGTACGAAGTTGTCAGAACAATAGTTCTTTCAAATCAGTTTGTTTTTTCGGACGAATTTAAATGCGAAATGTGAATTTCAAACATGGATGTAGAAAAATTAATTGGTTTATAGCACATGAAAGATAAAAGTTACGATAATAGAGATCCATCTCGACAAAATGGGAAAAGATTGCGCAAGAAAAGAATACAAATCGTATACACATATTCCATGCTACATAAATTAGTATTGTTGTATATTATTAAATAGGAATTTAGGTTTAGTTAATTTAAAATGTCAAATTTTTATTAAATCGTCCTTGTCATTCATCATGGATATATCGCAACAAAACAAAAAACTGGTGAAAGTTACAATCAGTTCTTCAGAATGTGTATGCAAAATAACCACTGTTGATCTGAACAACAATTCCGACATTTTCGTCCGAACGCCAGTTCGTCAGAAACGCATCCACTATAACCATAGTCTAATACGGCATTCGATGCGACAGCTCTGTCTGCGTAATATAAAACACAATATGAATGATTGTAATAAATAAGGGCGTAATTATGATTGAATGGATTAGTCTAGTAATTTTTCGTCGTTATTTCAAATACTAATAAAATTGTTTCTCCAATTTGAGCTGCTATTTTAATCTATAAGAAAATATGTACAGACGGTTTTTTAAATACCCTGTATATATTATATTGAAATATGTTTCTTTGAATGTATCTTAAATTCAGAAGACCTATTGAACGTGTATATGTTATTAAGATATGGCGAATAAATAATTTTTACCTAAATAAATCCTCCCGAAATCCTACGTCTATGTGCGACGTACCGATATAGGTATGATGCGGACAAAAGGTGTATTGGTTAAACAGTATAAAGAGCGATTCTATCTTAGTTAGATAATATGAGGTCTATGATCAAAACTGACACTTAAAAAGAAGAAGAATGTACGCTAGACATACATACATTAATTTTTCCAATTCCTGCTCAAGAAACTTTTTTGTGAATTACCTCATATACAATATTGTCTATTAATTTTCTATTCAATATTCACTGAGTTTCTGTTCTACATGCTTACCTGTAAATATACTGTATCCGATGACAATATGCCAAATAGCAGTACCGAAACTAGAAATTATCATACCGGTTCCCACGCAACCGACACCGATAAACGTAAAAGTCCTAATATCTAAAATTTTTAATAAGGGTCCCACTATCAGTCCGGCGAAATTAGTCACTACAACACTTAACGCCATCACCAGCGTGATTCCAGTGGCGTGCCCGCCGGATATGGATTTGATGTACTCGCCAAATATCAATCCATAGTTGGCGAACAGCGATTGATTCACCATCTGAAACAAAACAAAAAATTGTTAATTTTATTTTAAATTTTAAAGATAAATATGAAACCCGAACAAAATGAGAGTTTGCTTTAAGAACATGCCAGGCATGTCATCAATTTTTTGACTGGACAGGCCCGACTGCAAAAGAGCAATGGCGTATATAGTCGGCGGCACAGATAAATTTTACTATTCCACAATTAAATATCAGTATTATTAATATATCTATATATAATTCACAAAGACACCACCGAGGTTCAAACTTAGAAAACACAGTTGTCAAACTACAAAAAAGTGATGCGTTCAATTCTATCACAGTTAAACGACTGTGTACGTTTAGCGCATAGTACCCTTCGAGCAAATATGCTCGAAGATAGTAGCGCATAAATATTTTATGCCTAGCATCGCTGTATGACGAGACCGAGAGATGCTCGATTAACGATGAACAGTTTCTCTCGTATTGGCTGAACCGAGCCTTTCTCAAATTTCTATTTGTAGTAGCCCACGATATCCTGTAAGAAATGCCGGTCAACGTGGACCTCGATATCCAATTATAAGTCTGTGATTTTGATCAACTTATGTTCTAAGTGGTTCTTCGCCACGCTTGGATGTGTCATCGCTGTGTTGAGTGAGCACAAATAGACCATGTTTATCCAGTGTTGTATTCAATTACTGTTTGGATTTTTTGGTTTATAAAAAAATTACCTTTTGAAGGCCTTTTGAAAGTGATGAAAACAATGTCATCCCTGAAAGTATATAAATAATTGAATCGGTGAGTTCGAAAACCGTACATGTCCAAAATCAACCTTCCTAGAAAAACAATAAAAACCTTTTAACGAGTTACGAATATGTACGGTTTTTCGCCTAACTTCACGGGTATAATCAGCTGTACTACGCTAACGGATAGGTACCGTTTTTAAGCTCAATCAATGAAGAGATAAATTTTAAACAAAATCTTACTTTAAAATGCCAAATTTTGGACTTGTACGGTTTTTGAACTCACCAATTCAATTATAATTCTGATTGACTATTTTTTAAAAACATAGGATCAGTTGCGCCCCAAAAACAACTAAATTATAAAATTTAAACAGTAAAGTCGGCTTTGGCAGCTTACATTATTGTTTACCTATACGGGGTGATTCAAAAAGAAAAGGGGTTATTTTACCTGCAGATTCTATAGTGGAAAATGTTGATGTTTGGCACAATCAAATATTATTACATACGAAGAAAATGTAAAAACTGTACGAGAACACTTTTTAAAAAAAGTGACAAGCTGAATAAGCATATATTAATTAATTACTAATAAGTAGATGAGACTTTATTACGATTACCATTTCAACATTTAGGGTAGAATTAAATGAAACAAACAATTGGCTTTAGAAAAATATGATAAATTTTAGTAATATATTCTTTAATTTTTAGTTGGTCCCGTAAACATAGGGTAATTGCATTTTGCCACACTACAATTGAGTTTTCTCCTATTATTATTTAGAATATTATTACTTAGATTTTTAATAACACATTTACCCCAAACAACGCGCTTTTGCCCCGACTGACCCTACATGCAGAACCCATCAGAGTTTCTTCTGAGTGTAAAGAAGAATTGGCGGAGGAAGACGAGGAAGATGATAATAACCAAAAATTTGGTATGTGGATGTCACCCTCAACTCAAAAAATTATTCGAATTATGTACCACCAATTAAAAATGGAAAATAATGGATATAATTACGGTGTCATAGAAAGAATACTCGTTTCTACAAAAACTTTAAAAACTTTGAAAAAGTTATTACAAGCAAGGCATGTCTTCCAAGAAAAAAGCGGAATCAAAAATATCTAATTAGTCTAGATCACTGCATGATGGAGAATATTAGAAGAATGGTTTATACTTTTTTTTTCTAATAACAACGTGCAGTATTTTCAAATGATTAAAATTCTGATGTGCCCAACACATCACTTTCCTATCTAGTTATTATAGGCTTTTTCCGGTTATTTTGTACAATCTATTGTAGCACCTCTATAAATGATTAGAGGATAAACTAAATATATACATTTTCCACATACATCTAACTCGAAACATTTTTCTATAGATATTCATTGAAAACGAAAATACTGAAAAATTTAAATTTAGCATTTTTCCTCCATTTTTTCCATTACGGTCCATTTTAGAAAAATCATGTAAAAACAAAAATTATAGAGATCGATATTGCAAACAACTTTTAGTTTAACAATTTTCTTAAAAATCAGAATTTTGCACATTTTGTCAAATTTCTCGAATACGGACCATTTCAGGAAAATTTGACATAAAAAAAAATTATAGATAATAATATTAGAAATAACTTTTATTTGAACAATTTTCTTCTCAAAACATAAATAACAGATGTTCCGACTTTGTCCAAAATCTAATCATTTCACGTCAAGCCGAAATAAAACTTAAGTTTAATGTTTTTTTCCTTTATCCGTTTTTGAGTTTTCTTCAAAATTCGAAATGTATATATTTTCTCAAATACGGTCTATTTTAGAGAAATTATGTATGGGATAAAAATTATAGAGAATAATATTACAAACAACTTTTATTCGAACAATTTTTATAAAAAATATTTTTTTTTACATTTTGTCAAATTTCTCGAATACGGATCATTTTAGAAAAATTTTGTATAAAACAAAAAATATTGATAATAATATTGTAAGTAACTTTTATTTAAAGAATTTTCTTCTCCAAACGTAAATAACAGATAAACCATAAAATATAAAAATGACCACCTATAAAGTACCCCCCAGATGTTCCGACTCTGTCCAAAATCCAATCAATTCATTGGACGCCAGAATAAAGCTTAAGTTTAAAATTTGGTGTTTTTCTGTGTATCGGTTCATGAGTTATGCGATGCGCGCGCGCACACACACACACACACTCACACACACACACACACACACACACACACACACACACACACACACACACACACACGCGCGCGCACGCACACACGCATGCACGCGCACACACACACATCATTCCAAAAATAGCCAATACGGATTCAGGGGACCCCAAAATGTAAAAATCCGTCGAAAACTGGAGGTCGAAAAAAATCATGATTCCTATACTTTCCTTATCTGTATACAGATAGGAAAGTAAAAATGAAATAAAGTTGGTTCCCGGTTTTCCTTACAAATCTGACAAAACCACTAGAAAAGTGCTCCATTCGTTGGGTTTTAAATATCCGTACCTTAAATATGAAATCTCAAAGAATTATGATTTATTACGTAAATAGAATAGATAAAGCAAGATAGATTCATAGTGTATCTTAATGAGACTTGGTACGACACTTATGATATTGTGAAAAAAGGATGGACTGATCAATCTGCTAAATGTTCTGTGAATGCTCCTTCAAATAGAGGAAAACGTATTATAATATTACATGCCGGCAATCAAAACGGTTTTGTGTCAAATTGCTTGCCATTATCAGCAAAGAATATTTCGAGTTGTTCAACAGATTATCACCAAGATATGACATCTACCTTTTTCGAGAAATGGTTTGGTGAACAATTAATTGCTAATTTGCCACCAAAGGCTGTTATAGTAATGGATAATGCCTCTTACCACTCTCGTCAAACTAGTGAAATTCCAAAAGCAAAAGCTCGAAAAGAGGTCATTTCCTCGTTTTTGGACAAAATGGGTGTACCTATCATATCCGCCCTTAGCTTTAATAAAAGATTTGCTTGCAATATTGAAAGGCTTGAATCTCAAACTTAGCTACTACCGTACTATTGTACATTTAATACAATAGCATTAATTTATAGTAACATCAAAAGGGAGGTCAGAAAAAAATTATCCTGAATTTTCTGAAAGATGTTATTAGTTGTATCTCTCAAGAATTATGGTCCAATTGCGTCCTCCATGTTACCAAAATCGAAAATAACCAACTAGTTTTTCCGGCTTATTCTTACTATATAAACCTAAATAACACATCAAGTGAAGAAGGTAGTTCTGATGAGATTTGATTTTCCATTTTCGTTATATTTTTACGTTATTAAACGTAACCACGTACTTGTTATTCACGTTATTTTGGAAAGGAACATGGCATTGCTCCTGTTTTCCTCCTCTAGGAATGTAACCTTGACGTGGTGAAAAGGCTTGCATGCTTTAATCACTTTAGAAAATAAAGCCAGACTAATACATTCCACAGTAATTTAAATTTTTTATAATAAGAAGATACAAATTACAGTTCAAGCATTTTTCGTAACATCCTGCATTGATTTTTAATATTCAATCTAATATTTAAATTCTTAAATTAAATGAAATAATATAGTTTCATGGCGATTTTGAATATAAGTCATGAATATTTATTTCGGATTAATTTCGTAAGTGTTACCTTTAAAACTAAATTTGGTGATATTTATTAAATAATCGAAGAAGGAAATTATGAGAATAATGTGATAATATTTAAATACGTATAACATTCCTCTTGAAATATACAATAGACAATCTTAAATTATAGTGTTACATACAACTAATTAGGTCCGTCCCTGGGCTGCCGTTGAAGAAAGAATATCTTTACCTCCAACTATACAAAGTACAAATGGTTGTTTAGTATATCTGGTGTATAGTTTTGGTAAGAGATAATTTTTATTTTCCCATAATTATGTATCAGTATCATTAATATATATTTGTATACATATGCGCACAAACACACTGCCAAGGTAGTGACTTAGAAAACACACAAATGCATAGTTGTCAAACTTCAAAAAAGTGAAGCGTTGCATTTTATTATTATTAAGCGAATGTTGACTTTTGGCACACTTATTTTACCGTAGAAATAATTCATGCTTGGTATCGTTGCTCCAGTACATCGGAACTCGCCAAATTCTTATTACTTGTATATTTTCGTATGTTTTTTATTGGCTCAATTGACCGTTATCTATTTGTTCTCATCCCACTCGTTATTCTGTTTTATTTAATCTACGTTGACGTTAGCATTTAATTGTAGTTTTGTGGAGTTGAAAGTTTTTATTTCGTA